CATTTTTTATTTTATTATTTTTGTGTGTGTGTACCATCAAATTGGATCTGCCTGGTACAGGAGGAGATTGTCCCTCCTTCTCCAGCACAGCATCTGGTGGATTTGAACCATGCGCCTCTGGGATTGCAGTGCAGCTTCTTGCCGCTAGGCCACCAGAGCTCCCCAAACGTGTTACATTTTATGTCACATACATACACACACACACACACACACACACACACAGCCAACACAGAACAGAAACATGAGAGAGAGAAACAGAGACGGAACCCAGCTGATGTAACTGGAGCCCCTTGATCAAGCTATGCCTGACGCTAGTAACCCTGGATTTTTCCATAACAAGAGTCTATGCAGGACTGTCCTGTGTGTGTGCGGAGTGTATACTACAGAGCTTCATGAGGCAACTGAAACTATGTACTGGCCCGATCTCCTATATCAGGTTTAAAATCTCCAGCATAGCAGCATGGAAAGGCCCTACCTATCCAGCTGTGTGCATACCCAGGGCCCTAGAACACATAGGGGACCAAGACACAGTGGCATATAAACCAAGATAACTTCTTGCCCAGAAGACTGACAATTTCCAGATAAAATTTTTGCCTTTAAAAGTCAGCCAGTCAGTCAACAAGTTGGGGTTTTTGTTTTTTATTTTGTGTGTGTGTGTGTGTGTGTGTGTGTGTGTACTGTCAAATAGGATTTGACTGGTACAGGAGGAGATTGTTCCTCCTTCTCCAGCAGATCATCTGGTGGATTTGAACCATGCACCTCTGAGACTGCAGTACAACTTCTTGCCACTAAGCACCAGAGCGCCCAAGTTTGTTTTTTAAAAAAATAATGCTTGCTATGTGCTGGGTGCTGAGAACACAGAGCAATAAGCAGACATCCAGAGATTACAGAGCACTTTTCAGATACAACCGATGGGCTGAGCCACAGAAGCCAAAACCCCACAACCTATGAGTTGATTCCGATTCATAGAGACCCTGGAGGACAGGACAGGACCGCCCAGAGAGTTCCAAGGCTGTAGATCTTTACGGAAGCAGACAGCGTCAGCTTTCAAGCAGAGCAGTGGCTGGGTTCAAACTGCAGACCTTTTAGTTTGCAGTGGAGCTATGTAACAACCGCGTCTCCATGGCTCCTTCCTCCCACACACAGGCGCTGGAAAATGGGGATTATCTTGTAATGTATTGGTTTCAACGAACAACTCTACATACAGCAGGCGGGCTCAGGGAACAACCTATAAACAATGGAAGCATTCTTCTGCCTTTCCATTAATTTGTTGTTCTTGCATTGAGTCAAAACTGACCCACAGCTGAGCCTCCAGTGGGTTTTCAAAAGCAGTAAATTGCACGTGAGGAGACTACCCATCTTCCTCCCGCAGAGCTGCTGGTGGATTTGAACCATGTACCTCTGTGTTGGCAGTGCAATTCCTCACCACTAAGCCACCAGATTAATTAATTCCTATCAATAAAAGCAGGGATGAATACTAATGGCATTCTCACTCCACACAAGTGTGGTGCTAACTAAACATACTATGTTCAAGTCTCATTTATGCTCAACAACAACCTTATAAGATTTGCTACTGTACCCATTTTACAGATGGGGAAAACTGAGGCTGAAATCCACTCAAGAGAATCACTCGCATTAACAGGAGCTGATGAGGTGTTAAACTCTCGAGTACTTCTCCATCTACTAATTCATTTAATCCCACAACAACCCTATGAGGTAAATGCTTTCATTTTTAATCACCATCGATTTACAGATGCGGAAAATCAAACTGAGGCCCAGAGAGCAAGCAGCGCGCCTGATATCACAGAATGAGAAAACAGTGCCCAAAATAGGACGCATGCAGCCTGTCAAAGTGAGTAAGCACTTGGATAGTCCGCTTTGGAACCTTCTAGAAGAGAAAAGGAGAGGGCGGAAACTCAGCCTGGAGGTTAACAGAGCAACGGTGCCACTCCTGTCTCTGCCCAGGCCACCCCCTCAAGCTCCTGATCACCTGCACTCAACAACTTCAAGGTCCTTCCCCAGCGTGGACCACCAGGCTCCACCCCAGCCACAAAGAGGTGGACCCAACACATGGCTGAGAAGCTTCAAAACTGAGTTCCCAAAATATCCAAACGACTGGCAGATGGAGATGCTGTGTGCAGGCGCGGGAGGAGAACGGATTGGAAATAAAATGAAAGATGCCACAGCATATAAACAGCGTTGGAGGGCAGGACAGAGCCTGGAGGTGCTTCTCGGCGCCCCTGTTTCTGATCACCAAAAAGGTACTCACTCGCTCCTTCCATCTGCTGGGCAAACACTCCCTGAGCCTCAGGCATCCGATGGGGCAGGCTGACTCTGCCCTGCCACGCCGCCGTGAGGAGTTGGGATCAACTAGACAGCTGGTGATTTTTTTTTCCAGTTTACTATCTGCCAGGCACTGGGCCAAGTGCTGGGCCAACTTCTCACACCGACTTGGATGGAAATCTTTAGACTCTGACCATGTTTTAAGAATAAAGATGCTGCTGGTTCTCTTGTTCTGCCCGGAGCGAAAATTGGCATGACTGAAAATCTCCACAATGTTTAACACGACGCAGCTCCATCAACCGGTCGCAAAAGCCCAACCACTGCCCCATCGCCAGCTGGTCTCCCCAGTCTGCCACACAGCTGAGGCCTGTCAACAGCCACAACTTCTCAAGGCAACCTCAACCTTCTCCTTTCCCCTTCTGCCCAACCCTGCCCTCCTGTGACTCTCAGTCCCTCGGAGAAGAAAAGGAAGGGTTCAAAGCTGAGTTCCCAGGGGCAGGGCTCTGTGCAGTTAGGGGTCTGGGCTCTGCACAGGTCTCGGTTAGGGGCTCAGATCAGTGTTGAGGTTAAGTCTTGGTACAGTGTCTGGGGTAGGGTTCAGTTCAGTGTTGAGGTTAGGGTTCATGCCGTACTGGCATCAGAACAGCCCAGTGTTGGGTTTAGGGCCTCAGTGCAGTGTCTGAGTTGGAGTCTACCGAGTGTCTTGGTTGGGGACTCCGTGCAGCGTCTGGGTTAAGGGCTTGGCTCAGTGTTGAGATTGGGGGTTCATGCACTGTTAGGATCTGGAGTTTGGGGTAGTGTTAAGGTCAGGGCTCAGTGCAACATCTAGCTTGGGGACCCCCCCCCCGGTGCAGGGTCTGGGTTAAGGGCTTGGCTCAGTGTTGAAATTAGGGGTTCAAGTAGTGTTGGGGTTTGTGGTTTGGTATAGCGTTAAAAAGGTTAGGGCCTAGTGCAGCATCTGGGTTGAGGACACTTGGTGAAGGGTCTGTTTTGGGGACCCAGTGCAGGGTCTGGGTTAAGGGCTTGGCTCAGTGTTGAAATTAGGGGTTCATGCAGTGTTAGGGTCTGGGGTTTAGAGTACTGTTAAGGTCAGGGCTTGGTGCAGCATCTGGGGTGGGGGCTTGGTGCCAGGTGGGGTTAAGGGCTTGGCTCAGTGTTGAGATCAGGGGTTTATGCAGTGTTGGGGTTTGGGATTTGGTATAGTGTTAAGGTCAGGGCTTGGAGTAGCATCTGGGTTGAGGACCAGGTGCACTGTTTGGTGTGCGGACTTGGTGCAGGGTCTGGGTTAAGGGCTTGGCTCAGTCTTGAAATTAGGGTTCATGCAGTGTTGGGGTATGGTGTTTGGTGCAGTGTTAAAGTCAGAGCTCAGTGCAGCATCTAAGATGGGGACTAGGTGCAGCATCTGTGTTAGGAAAATGGTGCAAGGTCTGGATTAGGGGTTTGGTGTAGTGTTGAGGTTAGGGGGTCCATGCAGTGTTGTGGTTTGGGTTAGGTGCAGTGTTGAAGTCACGGTTTTCATGCAGTATTGGGGTTTGGGGTTCTGTGCAGTGCTAAGGTTTGGGGTTTAGTGCAGTGTTGAGGTTTGGGGTTCGGAGCAGTGTTGAGGTTAGGGGATCCATGCAGTGTGGGGGTTTGGGGTTTGGTGCAGTGTTGAGGTTTGGGGTTTGGAGCAGTGCTGAGGTTAGGGGATCCACGCAGTGTTGAGGGGTGGGGTTTGGTGTAGTGTTGAGGTTTGGGGTTCGGAGCAGTGTTGAGATTAGGGGGTCCATGCAGTGTTGAGGTTTGGGGTTTGGTGCAGTGTTGAGGTTTGGAGTTTGGAGCAGTGCTGAGGTTAGGGGATCCACGCAGTGTTGAGGGGTGGGGTTTGGTGTAGTGTTGAGGTTTGGGGTTTGGAGCAGTGTTGAGGTTAGGAGGTCCATGCAGTGT